TCGTTAGCAAAGTGTTTGAAACAGGTTGAACCGGTAAACAACAACAAGTAAACAACAGCATCTGGTTTCTTGGTGCTGATGAGAGTTCCCCTGAGGGTCTTCAGGACCAACCTGTTCCAGTTCTGAGTCTTTAGAGAAACAGAACTCGGCTGATCTGACAGATTTTCAGCCAACACTGGGTGTGGTAGTAGCAGAGCGTCATCCTCGACACGCACGCTGAGCTACAGAGTAGAGCTCCATTTACACAGCTGGAGGGCGATATGCATTCCTCTGAGGAACGTTAGATTTATATCCATCATCTTTACTCGCTTCTTCCTTTTTGGGTTGCGGGGGTCACTGGTGCCCATATCCAACTATCACTGTGTGAGGGGCGGGGGACACCCTGGACAGGTCTCCAGTCCATCACAGGGACACCCTGGACAGGTCTCCAGTCCATCACAGGGACACCCTGGACATGTCTCCAGTCCATCACAGGTCTCCAGTCCATCACAGGGACACCCTGGACAGGTCTCCAGTCCATCACAGGGACACCCTGGACAGGTCTCCAGTCCATCACAGGGACACCTAGGGACAATTTAGCGTCACCAATCAGCCTAACATGCATGTTTTTGGTCTGTGGGAGGAAACTGGAGCACCTGGAGAAAACCCACGCAGCACGGAGAGAACATGCAAACTCCACCCAGAACGGCCCCGGCTGGGATTTGAACAGACGACCTGCTCATGAGAGGTGGCAGCTCTACCCACTGCTGTCAGGGTTTGTTCTGTTTGTCAAAAGGAGCAGAAATAAAAAACAACAGGACAGTTTTGAAGTGTTGGTGCAGATTCCTTCCACGTGTGGTCCGGTCGGGCTGCACGTCGTCACGCTGAAAACAAACAGCGAAGCAGATTGTCTGAGGAGGCCCGTCAGCACGTCCTTATCAGCCGAACGCAGCGAGATGAGAAACGCCGAGTGAAGACCTCGTATCAGGTGTTGATAAAAAACACTCCGATACGACGATCTGAGGCGGTTCTGACAACATGAAGTCGTGTTCCTGCAGAAACAGCAGCTCCTGTTCATTTTTCAACCTTTATTTCTACAGGTTAATGCCACTGAGCCTCAGGGACTCATTTACAAGAGAGACCTGGTTTAACAAAGAGTGATGACAACAGTGGACATTCATAAAAGAGGCGTGCACATTTATTTATTTCTTTTTACAAATTAAAATAAAATGGCAACCAAAAGGAAAAAGTAGCGACAAAAAAACAACAACAAAACAGCTGGATTATAAGGCGAATGTAGAAAACTAAAAACAGGAACTGAACAGATGTTTGAAGCCACTTAGAGAGGTCAAAAGTCGAGAGCTTCAGATGTTTTTACAAGATGTTCCAGGAAACAGGAGCGGAGCAGGAGAAGGTCCTTTTGTCTAGTTCAGTCCTCACTGAGGGAACACTGCAGGTAATGATGTCCTGAGAGCGCACGCTGTAGCTGCACTCACACAGAGACATGTAGGAGGAGATGTATGAAGGCAGCAGACCAGGAAGTGATTTAAAGATGAAGATGTACCAGTGGGAGAGTCTGTGAAGTTAATGATGACCAGTTAACCAGTGGATACTGGGTGCAGTGGTGGGTACGGTAGTTACAGCCAGTTATGAATCTTAGTGCACCATGATAGACAGCATCCAACATCTGCAGCATCCAACATCTGCAGCATCCAACATCTGCAGCATCCAACATCTGCAGCATCCAACATCTGCAGCATCCAACATCTGCAGCATCCAACATCTGCAGGGTTCTTGTAGGAGCGTTCATGTAAATAATGTCACCGTGATCACTGGAGGGAAGGAAAGTCACAGATACAAGGCGTTCCTCAGGGTTCATAGTTAGACAGGATCTGTTTCTGAAAAAGAAACCCAGTTGAACTTTCAGTTTCTTTACTATTTTCCACGTGGAGCTTAAAAGAGAGATGTGAGTCGACCAAGATGCTCAAGTATTTGTAGGAATCAACAAACTCAATGGGGACACCATTTGAAGATAAAATCAGAGGAAGAATGTCTGAGTTAAGAACGTTAAGACAAACAAAACGTTCTGACTCATCGTGGAAACGATGACTCAGAACGTTTTCGGCTCCTTCAGGAAATAGAAGATATCAAGTTTGGATTTGTAACTTTTCTTTTTTTCAAACTAGGCTCAGAGTTAGGATCAGTGGTTAGCACTGTTGCCTCACAGCAAGAAGGTCCTGGGTTCAATCCCCAGTTGAACGTGGGTCTTTCTGTGTGGAGTTTGCATGTTCTCTCCGTGCTGCGTGGCATGTTAGTCTGCCTTCAGGCTCAGGCCTCCCTTACAAAAGATCTGTGATTTGCCTGGTTCAATAAAGTTAATAAATAAAATATTTCATTAGATTTACAAACATTACACTCGTAGAAACACGTTCAGAACTTTGAAAATCAGCTTCAGCTACTTGCTCCAGTTTAGTTTTCTTATGATACTTCTAGCTAGTCTTTTGCTACTTTTAGCTCTTAGCCGGACCTTTGTTTTTTTTTTTTAGCTTCTAGCTAACCTTTTGTTACTTTGAGGTTTTAGTTGCTTTTGCTACATTTACCTTTTAGTTAGTTCTTGGTAACAAAGTAGATTTTAGCTAGCTTTTGATGCTGTGATGCTTTTCTAGTTTAGCTTTTAGCAATTTGCAACTTAAAGCAACCATATAATCCATTTTAACCTAACTTATTGCTTTTTGCTAGCCTTTAGCTCTTTTATCTATGAATAACCTTTGTTACTTTTAGCTTATAGCTAGTCTTTTCATGCGTTTAGCTTTTAAGTACACTTTTGTTTAGCAAGCGTTTTGCTAGTTTTAACATGTGTTTGCAAATTGTTAAGTTACTTTTAGTTAAAAAATTGTTACTTAAAGTGACAGATGTTTTTTTAAATTACTTTTGGTTCGTGTTTTGCTACTCTTGGCCTTTAGCTATTGTTGCTGAGGTTGTTGGTTTGATCCAAATCTGAACGCAGCTGCTAAAGTTGATGAAGATGATGTCGTCTTAAGTCACTTCCTGTTCCTCAGATGTTGCTTCCTGTTGTGGGAGTTATTTTCCAACAACTTTCTGTTTGTTATCCGTTTTGTGTCGTGAAGCGAGCCGAAGTCTTCGTCTGGAATAAAAGCCTCTGACTGACGAGAAACTAAACGTTTTATCCACGAACTGATAAAAACTGATTCCAGGCTGGAGAAAACATCATCTTCAGATTGTGCTCGTTGAATCAGCAGCCTGACAAAATAAGAGCTGACAGCACTGATGATTATTTCATCGTGTCTGAGTTATAACGAATGCATGTTGCCCACCAGAGCTCAAACTTCATGTGGTAGTAGCTGAGAGTCGTCCACTTTCTTACAAGGTTTGGTCCAAACAGCTCGACCTTCGTCTCTCACCATAAGATCATCTTAAGCTCTGGCACGAAAGGTGGCGGGTGACATGCACTCCTTCAAGGAGTAGCAGGCTTTTAATTTGAAACCAGTCCTTTTAGACATTCTGACCGTCGCTGTTTGGAACTGGGACCACCCGCGATCCAGAACTGGAACCACTTCAAAGGAAAAGTCGGACTTCTGACTCCACCCGAGTCTGAACAGCAGCGGATGTTTTTTGCTAAATCTGTATTTTTATTTTATTATTTTAGCAGCTGGAGTTCTTCAGCTGGTTCTGACCCGAAGGCCCGTCAACACGAGTTATTTTATATGAACGAGGATCAGAAGTTCTCAGTTCCTGAGGAGTAAAGTCAGAAACTTACGTGTTTCTCTGCAGATGGACGACGTGATCGTTTCCGTCCACTCTGATAACGAAGGACGCCTGCAGAGACACAAAGAGACGTTAGGAGGAGACAGACTGTCCACTGTCCCAGCAGAGCGGATCTCTGAGGGTTTCTGGATCAGGTCCAACAGCAAGAACTCGTTCAAACCGACTCGTTTTCATGATAAACCGTCAGCTGCTGACCCCGGGTTAACTCTGACCTTTGACCTCTGATGCTTCCTACAAATCGGTCTCCAGTTTTTGGATGCAACAGTTCTGTTCTGGTCTTGGACTCTGTCATGGCTGCTGGAGACATTTCCAAACAGGATCCACCGGAGAGCCTCCAAACGTTCAAACAGTCCACACCAGCTCCGGCAGAAACCCAGACCAGCTCTAAACCTGACGGGCCGTGGATTTACTGAAAACTGGTTTAGACCGTCTTCAGCAGATCCTCGATGTGGGGGCCGCTGTACTGAGGCCGTGCACACAAAAATTAGACCTTTATTTTGGAACGTGTACCATCGCTTACTTCCAGAAAGGTTCATTCAAGATATTTTGCTAACAGAGGTGACTCCAAACAGTTACAGCGACAGCTTTAGACAAAGAGCGGTCTGTAAACGCTGGCAGACGATCGTTTCATCGCATCTCGTCGGGAGATGATTGTGAAGTTAACGGTCGAACACATTTGAAAACCAGAGGAGAAAAGTCAGCACCTGATTGGGCGGTCGGCCGCCGGCGTCCCTCCTCGCCCGGCCTCCGACTGGTCGGGGGACGGTCAGCTGATGGGAGGACAGATGCTCCGTCTGCCGAGAGTCTGCAGAAGAGAAAAGAAAGAAACGTTGAGACGTTTCTTCGTCCTCAAAGCTCACAGGAATCAAACATTTACCGCCCCCCACTGAAAGGTGAAGGCAGGTAATAATGGTTTACCTGCCTGTTAGCAAAATATCCCATCAGTCACTGGGAACACTTCATTAAAACTCTGTTTGCCTAAAACAAGAAAATAATTCAATAAAATTGTCGATAAACGAGAAACTAATCTGATGTCCTCAGAGACGCCCGAGAGTCTCCATCTGTTCGCACGGTCGCCACCTCCGAGTGTGGGCGTGTTAATCCGTAACCATGGCAACTCCAGACGACCCGTGGGCCCGCCTGCAGCCAAGGAATCACACGAGCACCTAACACCCCGACGCGGTCTGGTCTTAATCAGAGAAGACGGTCTGAAGACGCTGAGCTCGTTCGGTTCCACCTTCCTGCCAATCGTGGAGTCCGTTTCCTGCTCGGCGTCTTTGTCTTCACCACCGCTTCAGAGAGGGCCGACGGTTCACTGGTTCGATTCCCGTTAATTTAAAAATAAAGGAGCTGCCAATCACTCTGGGAAGGGTCAAAGGTCATTTCCAAACGTTCATCAGAGCGGAAGATCGTTCACAAGTGGAAAACATTTAAGACCGATAACTATTTTCACAGCTGATTCACCCTGAAGGTCAGACCGTGCAGTGACTCTACAGGCTTCAGTCAGCAGGTCAAAGGTCATGGCCTCTTCTCTCTACAAACATTTCAGCACGACTTCAGTTTGGAACCTTTCATCTGAAGGAACCACAAAACTTCAGGGGCAGAACCAGACCAGAAGACAGGTCTTTACCCAGAATGCACTGCAGCAAACAGCTCCTCCCAGCCGTCAGCACGGCAGTAGAGGTTGATGGTCTGGGCTCCTTGTGGACCAAAGGATTCAGGAGAAAAATGTGGGTCCACCAGCCTGGACCAAACTGAAGGAGGTTCTACAAACTCTGATCACCTGATGTTGGACTCATCTGCTTTTAACACACGATGATTTATTGTCCCGATAAAACTGAGACAAACAACAAAATAATGTAAATATAAACAAATTTAGTGGCTAAAAAAAGAGTAAAGCCTGTTGTTCTTGTTCCAACTTGTAAAACACGAAGCTGGTTTGTGATCCTCAGACGAAGGTCAAAGGTCACGCCCAGACCGCCTGACCACAGGGCTGTTTCCAAACAGTGGTCTCCTGTTCCCGCGGAAAACACAAATCTGAAGATTTAAAGGGTCAACGTTACAAACGAGGGCCGAGCAGCGACAAGTGACACGAAATAAATCAACAGGCTCACGGCTTCGCTCCGAGCGGAGGAGAAACCACCGGATGAGCCAGGATCCAGACAAACAGCTGCTGAGCCAGCTGTTTGTGTGTGTGTGTGTGTGAGAGAGAGAGAGTGAGTAAGAGAGAGGGTGTGAGTTCCTGTAACTATTTGGTCTTTAAGACAACTAAGAGTGTTATTCAAGTCTTGTTGACTCAACAGAAATGTAAGGTTTGTGTGCACACGCACGCACGCACGCACACGCGCACACACACGTGCGCGCCCACACCCACACACACACAGGGAGTACTTCCTCTCAGAGTCACCACTAATACTCGACACTAAGCAGCTTAACGCACAACGTTCAAGAAGTGACACACACGGCCTTAAAGGGACAGTTCTGACATTTTGGAGCCGCCGGCAGCAGATGATGGACTGATCTCATGTGAAACAAACAAACAAACAAACAAATGTACCACATTAACAAAGTTAAAAATGAAAAGTAACCATCAGGACTGAGGACCAGATCCTGGACCCAAGCAGCTCTAAAACCTGAGCTTCCTTCGTAGGGCAGATGGGCTCAGCCTCAGGTCAGGTGAGGAGCTCCATCATCCAGATGGAGCTCGGAGGAGAGCTGCTGCTCCTCCTCATCCCAACGACTCAGCTGAGGAGGTTCAACCATCTGATGTAGACAACTCCGTCAGGAGGTATTACAGGCCCAGTCCACAGGGTGTGAACCCTAGGGCAGACCTAGAACTCTATGGAGGGATTATGTGTACTCTCGGGTCAAGGAACACCTGAGGAGAAGATCTGGGTTCCCCTGATGGACTCGTTTGCTCCATGACACAGATGGTCAAAAAGAATGTTGTTGTGATGAAAGCTCACGTCCTCCAGGACAATTTCACTCGAGACTCTTCAGCCTGAGATCCCTTTGACCACAGTCCACTGCAGGTAAGATACTAACTACTGATAAGCTCATAAACCCAATAAACTATTGGAAACACAATCAAGTACTGTTAAAGAAGAAAAATGACACCAGTCACTGCAGATCACAAACACAACACAAACACAACACAAACACAACACAAACAACACAAACACAACA